CAGTGTCTTTTGTCCTCATGCTGTCTGTGTGTTTGCTGGTGTGACTCTGCAGTGTGTGTGTGTGTGTGTGTGTTTGTCAAACAGCGGGTGACCTGCTTCTGAGGTTTCAACACAAATGACCCCCAGATATGGACGACTATTGTCCCCCGCCTCCTAATCTGTTTATGCAGCTCCCCAATCTGTCTTTGTGGCCGGTCCAGGACGAGACAAAGCCGGAGTCTCCCCGCTGCAGAGGCTGATTCCTCGTCACGCCGCTCACTCAGCTGACTCGTAAAGTCATTGTGGAGGCTGACGGAGCGGCGTGAGCCGTTAAAATAATTGATTGACCGTGTGGCGGCTGGAGGTTATTCAGTCAATACACTTAGTGTAGCTTCTGGTGTGTGTGTGTGTTTGCTTGCTCTAAGGGTCTGCTGATACTGAACTTTTTTTTTAAAGGGTCAGTTCACCCAAATTACAAAGAAAGGTAGTTCCTCACCTGCCTCTTGTGGAGTCTAGATATGTAAAAAGTACCAAGATATAAATACTCCATCACATGTAAAAGTCCTGCATTCAAAATCCTACGTAAGTAAAATGAATGTACTTAAAGTATTAAAGTTAAAGACAAATAGACCTTGACTGACATATTTATCATATATTATTCATAGATTAGTAATACTGATGGATACATTTGAGAGCAGCAGTTTGAACTACTTTATATACAGTTTAGTCCAGTGGTTCCTAACCTAGGGGTCAGGGCCCTCCAAAGGGTCAGCAGATAAATCTGAGGGGTCGTGAGATGATTAATGGGAGAGGAAATAAGAAAAAAGTTCTGCGACACAAATTAATCTGGACTTTTCTATAATCTTTGCTTTTTTTGTGTGAAATACTGTATAATTAGACCTCTTTGTCCGGTGTGTAACATTTAGGAGGATCTATTGGCAGATATTTTCATGGGTAAGTTTTCCTTAGTGTATAATCACCGGAAAATAAGAATCGTTGTGTCTTTGTTACCTTTGAGGTACTGAATCACTGAAGACATGAAGGTTGATTTAATCAGTGTGTGATCCTGGTGGTGTGTATTAATGTGTGTGCTTCCTGCAGTTTCTTCAGACAGAGCTGGTGTTTGGCCGTTTATCACGACAGATTCTCCGACTTTGAGCAGGAGCTTCAGCAGATCACCTCAACTACCGTTCGTACTTTTATTTTCATCCCAAAAATCAACAAGTTTGAGTTTAATCTCCAGCCTTCATGTCTTTCTTTCTTTAACCTTAAACACATTTAAAATGCCAGGACTGCAGCTGTGAAGAATAATTGTTTTTAACCCACATAAAACATGTTGTAATACCACAACATTTAAAGAGTCACTCAGAGCGTTGCTGTGTCTTTAACCTCCACCCATGTGTCCCAGCAGGACGATGAGTCGAGGCAGCAGGTGATGGAGGACGCCGACGACTCAAACATCCTCCCTCAGGACAGATTTAAAGATGCTGAGAGTCGAGCGTCTCTGAGGAGCAGCGCTGTGAAATATCTGAGCTACAACCGTAACCTGCTGCCCATGTTCGCCTTCCCGGGACAGCTGTGACATCATATGAATTTTAACCCTGTTAAATTCTCACCAAACCACAATGTGTGAATCTTTGAGGTCTAAAAAAACGTGTTGACTGTATTCTCTTCCTTATAAAACATTTGCAAAGCCAATGTTTTGAGTGTTTTCAAGATGAGTTTATGCCTTCTTCTTCTTCCATGTCTTTGCTGGTGCATTGCTACAGCCATTTTTGTAACATACCGTAGTTCATCGTTAGCCACTAGAGGTTACTCATTTCATTCTTTAGGAATATAAAATCTGCACGATGGCAATACTGGACCAGGAAAAAGCATATATATTTAATGATGATATCTATATTGCAACAGTCCAGAATGTGTATTAAAATATATATTCCTAACCTTTGTTCTAGAGGTGTTTTCTTGTGACTAACCGCTAAAAAATGATGTTTAGAAAAACCTCAAAATGTAACTGATTTGAAAAATTAAAATGAATTCACTGTAAAGAAAATGATCAGATTCCACTGTGGACATTAATAAGTTAATTAGAAAAGTCCCTTCATGTTACAGTAACTCCTTCCTCAATTCTATCAAATTAAGAGACTTTTCCAGCACTTGAGCTCCACTTTTTCCCCCCCAATAACATGCACATTTTCCTCATGTGAACATCAGATGAATTGATGATTTATGTATCTGATTTTAGTTTATATCTGAGTGTGGAAACTTGTTACTTATGCCACACTTTGACATGTGTGTTTCTATTTCCTCCACAATGTCCCAACTGTAACTGTGAGTATGAACTCTCCCCTCGGTGACTCTGCAGCACCGTGACCAATCACACGGCCTGTATAGCGGCTGGAGATGAAAGCTTTTGGGAGGAGGAGGAGGAGGAGGAGGAGGAGGGTGTCACTCTACAGCTGTATGCTAATGAGCCTGAGCTGAAGCCTGTCGGGAAAATAACCGCACACACAACAACATATGTCCGCACCTACAAACAGCCCGCAGGCTCAGAAAACACACTGGTGTCCACATAGAAAGTCACATATTACAGGATTCAGTCGCGTGTGTGTGTTGTTGTATAACGATGCAAATCACCAGATTATTCTGAATTCTACATCTATAAGGACTCTTTAATCAAATATAAATCTGAGATTAAATATAAAGAGTTATTGGAAAGAAGATTTTATTGTAAATTGGATGTAAATATAATTAATTTATAGTAGTATAGTGACTTTACTACACTTACTGATGTTATACAGTAATGTTGCTATGATGTTATTATATTTTAAAGTGTTTTATGGTATTTAATGACCGTGTTCATATGACATATTTATTACACAGGTATTAGTCAAACATGTTCCCTAATGATTGTTTTAATTGTTATAGCTGCATATTCTCCAGGTTGATTTCTTGAATTTCCAAAAACAGTCATAATAAATTGAGTTATATATAATATATAAATTATTTCCACACAAAAACAAACAAAACTACAAGAAAGAAATCTCAATCTCTTAAATTATTGTTTGTCTGTTTTTGCCTCCTGAAAGTCTTGTTTTCTTTAAACAGTTGAAATAACTTTATACAATAAGATTATTTCAACATGTTTCCAATATTATTTCAGTTATTATCTATAAATGGGTGTCTTGTGTCTTTAAAAAGAAGACAGAATGATTCAGGTCGCAGTAAAATGACTCAGGACAATTCTTGAAACAAGTTGATTTATGTTGGAAACAGGTTGAAATTATCTCACCACTGCATCATTGTTTTACTTGTTTTAAAGAGACTTTTAGGACTCAATAGTGGACAAAATGTAAAGCGCTTTTAGTAGAAACCAATTTTAAAAAACACCAACTCGTGAAAAATGAAGGAAAATAAGAATCGTAGGAAGTTATAATGATATAATGTCTTAAATGGTAATTGTTTGTATTTCAGATCCAAGTTTGAAGACACTAACAGTCAAATATTTGACCAAATCAATCAACCTGATCCTGAGCTGGAAGCTGAGACCTCAACTGAAACCTGCTGCTTTCCAAACTCCTTTAACATCCACACACTGATTTTTGCATGCGCTCTTTTAAACATTGCAGAGGTCTCCTCGAACTCAGCACCGACCCATCGTGACATCCCGTCATCCCTCACGGTGGAGGACAGACTCATATCCGGCTGACCTGGTCAGATATGACCTGCAGGAATTGGGTTTGGTGTGTTTTAACCCGCAGATAATCTCGGTTTGCCCCATTTGGAGACACAGAAAAAGCGCACTGATTACGCACAGCACGCGCCGACGGTATCTGGGGGCCAGATTGCTTTTGGGGGCCCCCCACTTCTTCTTCTCCTTCTTTTTTTTTTCTCAACTGTGCAATTTCCTTTTCAATCACGGCGGGTCTACAGCTTGCACAAGCGCAGCCATTGTGATGCAAAGCAGGAGACCCTCCTCTCGCTATTAATTATGTATGCGTAAAATGACGGATTCATATGTCCGGAGTTAACTGTCACGCCAGCGCACATGCTGCAGGGTCACAGTGGGTTGAAATGTTTGTTTGTTTGTTTGCTGTTTGGTTATTTGTCTAATCTAGTTGGTCGAATTGAACCGCATTGTTCAGTGCGTAAAAGCGCTTTTTAAATCTGTTGTTGGGACCTCGAGTCGTCCTGGGAAGTTTTTGAATGTCTTGAATTATAAATTATAAACCCAAATTCTTCAACGGTCATGAAAACAGTCCAATGAAGTATTTTACCTCAGGACTGGAGCTGTTTTAGCTTTTATTTCCAAAACTGCTCTTAAATTTCATTCCGAGTTCTGATCCCTCTCTGGATTTTCATTTTCTACATTTTCCATTTTTTCCATATGTCCTTATTGTTATTGTTTCCAGTCACATCTTCTTGACGCCGTTATGTGGACGGATGTCTCCTTTTTGGACAAACCAGAGCCCCCACCACCCGAAGGAGACACATAAAGCCGAGGCACGTGTAGATTTCTATACAAACTCATCAGACCGTAAAAGCAGGAGGCTCCTGGCGTGTGCCCGGGTCGAGACGACAAGGAGGAGGACGAGGAGGAGGAGAGAGTGTGTGTGTGTGGAGTGAGTGTGTGTGTAAAGGGGGGGTGAAATACAATAAAACCCTCAGGTACATCTGCTTTGCAATCTGCAAATCCTCCCTCCATCACCCCCCTCCTCTCCTCCATCAGCCTCTCCATCCTCCCACACCCACTCCCCAAATCCACGGGGGACCTCGGCTCCTTCTGATTGGTCGGGGATGAGGCAACAAGGGGGGACGGGAACAATGTCATCATGTCGCCTTAAAAAGAGTGCAGCTATGTTGTGGTGAAAGCACCTCGGGAGGAGAACAGAGGATCAGTAGCAGGAGGAAACGACAACAAAAAGACGCATCAGATGTTTCTGTCCGCAAGCGGTTAAAAGTGGATTTCTTCTCTCTGCAGCAGCGTCCAAAGTGCCTTCAGCTCTCCGTCCAGCGCGAACATGCCGAGAGGATTTTTGGTGAAAAGGAACAAGAAAACCAACCCGGTGTCCTACCGGGTTCGCTCCGACGAGGAGGAAACGGAACAAACAGCGGCTGATGCGCCGCCGCTGCCGTCCTCCACCGCGCCTCGCGTCTCCGTCCCGGTGCGCGCACAGACGCCGACGCCCACCTGCGGGGCGGCGGCCACGGCTCCGGAGCATGATGCCAAACCGGTGCAATTCGGAAACCCGGAGGCGGTATACCAAGCACTCTACAGCCCCACCCGCCCCGTCAGCCAGGACCACGACCGCTCCTACTTCGAGAGACGCTTCAACCTCGGATCACCGGTTTCCGCGGAGTCCTTCCCAACACCAGCAGCGCTCACCGCTTTGGACCACCTTTTCGCCCCAGTGGACCTGAAAATCGGCTCCAGCAACAGCAGCCGCACAGACACCAGCGCCACATCCACCGGGACTCTCCCCACCGCCGGGACCAAACGGACGTCCAGCGACACCGAGCGCAAAAGCAAACCGCCGTCCAAGAAAACCAAAGCTATCCGGAAACTGCACTTTGAGGATGATGTCACCACATCTCCGGTTCTCGGGCTCAAGATTAAAGAGGCGCCGGTTGACCAGAAGCCTCCAAGACCACAGCCGTCCGGAGGTGACAACGTCCCCATGGGCGAGTTCGTGTGCCAGCTGTGCCGGGAGGCGTACGCAGACCCGTTCGCTCTGGCGCAGCACAAGTGCTCCAGGATAGTCCGGGTTGAGTACAGGTGTCCCGAGTGTGACAAGGTGTTCAGCTGCCCGGCTAACCTCGCCTCCCACCGGCGGTGGCACAAACCGAAGCCTCAGAGCGGAGCACACGGTGTGCACAATTTGGAGAGCGACAAGGCGTCCGCGTCCGGTAAGACAGCGGATGAAGTGAAGGATTCTAGTGACAGGGACACACCCAGCCCAGGACCGTCCGAGTCCGGCTCAGAGGAAGGGCTGTATGATTGTAATCACTGTGGGAAAAAGTTTAAGCGCCAGGCATACCTGAGGAAGCACCTGGCGTCTCAGCACGGCTCCCCGAAACCGTCGGAGGACGAGGATGCGCCGGCCTGCGAGCAGAGCGCGGCGCCGCTGAACCTGAGCTCCTCCACCTGCCACCTGTGTCCGGTCTGCGGGGAGAACTTTTCCAACAGGGGCAGCCAGGAGCGGCACATCCGCCTGCTACACTCCTCACAGGTGTACCCGTGCAAATACTGCCCCGCCATCTTTTACAGCTCCCCGGGACTCACCAGACACATCAACAAATGCCACCCGTCCGAGAACCGACAGGTGATCCTGCTGCAGATGCCGCTCCGCCCCGCCTGCTGATCCGGAACTTTTGGGCCGCTTTCATACTCTCAGATAACAAGACAGCAAAGTCCAGCCTTGTTTCTCGGAGGATTTTAGGGTTACACAGCAAAAATATCCGCCTTATAAAGATTTTTTTGAGCTCCTAAAATCTTACTTTTCTAAAACTCAAGTAAAAAATATGAGACTTTGGTGAGAAGCTGTAACTGGTTGACTTCATTGTTGATGGGAGTGATTTATTTTCCCTCTTGTTTCAGTTATTTGGTCAAAAATCACCAAAAGTTAAGCTGTTCTCCTATTGTAAGAATTTTAAAACAATGAACTCTTCATTTTCTTGAACACTTTGTGAGCGATTTGCCTATTTTTGCCTTCATTCTGGATGTAAATTCAAGAAAATGCACAAATCACATAAGAATAAAGAGGAATTATTCACTCATCGTCATTTTTAGGCACATTTTGACAACTCATTGAGGTAAAAGAGGAAATTAAAGGATATTTTTGCAGTGTAACTAGGCTACATGACCCACATGCACCAATTTGTAGAGGTCAGAGGTCAGCCTCTCACCTGCAGCTGGCAGGGATTCAGTGCCTTGCTCAAGGACACTTCAGCAGGTTCTGGGTGTGTGTTTGAACCCCTCCCGGCCTATAATCCCCCCCCCCTCCTTTAAAGGATCTCTGACATCATACTTCAAACACTTAAAGCGTTAGACTGTTAATTTATTTTTCTAGCATCTCTGCACAAGTGCTATTAGCTTCTAGACCTAAGAGAGGGGACGACCTGTAGCAGATTAAAAAAAAAAAAACAGAAACCAGAGGGCCTGAAAAGACCTGATCTCATCACTCTGATTAGCTTTAACATAGCTTGTGGATCCATGGATCAGTAGCTGTTGCCTGGAAAGAAAAAAGAGTAAAAACTAGTGTAGCCGGTAATGCCTTTGGATTAGAAACTCCTGCTGTAAAACTGCCTTAAACTGAACTGATTGTTTTTTGATCACTTATTTATCACTGGCTGGGTATAATATGATTATTATTTTTTACAAAGCCTCCTGTATTACCACTATACAGTATATCTAATTCCCTTTTTTTCTATTTATTTATGTATTTATTAAATTATTTGTGTAAATTATTGCTCTGTGTGCTCTCTGTGATCTGTTGCTGTACTTTTTCATGATGTAGCCAAATTGATTTATTTTCTTTAACTTATATAAAAAAAAACGGTGTGGTCAAGTGACATCATAGCAATCAATGAGTTTTATCAGCCGCTCTTGAATAATAACTGAATGCAATCATGATTTTTATTTGATTTTGTATGTTTTGTTTTGGTTTCTTTGTAACCATTAGCTCTTATACTGCTTTGGATGTTTCTGCAGTATTTTGCTAAATGTCCAAAAATAATAAAAACCAAACTGAGAAACAGTTTCCATTCTGTCCTGTGTGTCTTCTGGATGTTTCTAGCATTATACATTTCTGGATTTGGTTTAACAGCTGGATTTGAACCCTAAACCAACTCAAATGCAGCTTAAAAAGCAGCCAGGGCCGTAGCCAGCAGTTTAGAAGCACTGAGGCTAAAATCCCCCCCAAACATTTGATCTCCAAAGGATTTCTCTGGACTGATGGACAATGCAAAACCCTTAAATTTGATCTTTATTTATGTTTTTTGGGGCTAAAAACAGTTTCAAATTTTTTTTAAAATACTTAAATTAAAAAAAAAAATTAGAATAAACCTTAAAAAACCAACATGTTTAAAATGTGTTGCCAGTGGGGGAATGTAACCACTGGTAACTGACTTTAGTACTGTCCTTAAGAACAAATCTGAGGTACTTTATCAGAGTATAAAGAGGAAAGAGGGAAATATTGTCCTTTTTCCACTACTAAATTGTCCTTATAGTTTCTTAAAATAATCAAGAATTTATAAAACATATGATAATCTGATCAAATATGATGTTTTGGGTTTGGTTAAATTACCCAAAAGTCTGTAAAATAGTCACCAACTAAGACAATACAATTCTATTTTCACATGACTGCAACAGTTATAATACAACATGATGATAAACTTTTACTTTTTTAACTTTGCACATACATAAGCTAACAGTTTAGAGTATTTTCACAGTTGTATTAGTACTTTTACTTAAATAAAGTGCCGCTGTGTGTTGCATTGCAGAGACCTCAGGCTCATTAAACTGTTAAATTCCCAGAAGCATCACTGAGGACGTGACCTCTGCGTTCTGAACGACAGCTTCATGTGAAGGTATTTGCACTTATGACGTCACATCCACACATTTCTGATGTTTTCATTTTTTATGATCTATCAGTGGCAAAGACTTTGTTATCCTGATAAAACACAGAGAAGTACAATATATATCCAATTAACTCTTATATCTTAAAATTTGTCCAACACATGTTCATACACAACAGAACTCTGCAGGATTCATTTATATATTATATATTTATATATATATATATATATATATATATATTTCATACAATGAAAACAAGAGCCAAAAGACAACTAATTGTTAACTTAATAATCCTATTTTTTTTATTTCATATCCATGAATTCAAGTTTTCCAGATCTTCCATCTTTGGAATTTGGACAGTTAAGCTCATCAATAACAAGAACATACTGTACACAGTATAAATGATCTTAAGTACAAAATAACAATCAACAATAAAAAAACAACAATAAAATATACAGAATGCAAATAACTGCACTTATATTCTGTTTTATATGTATGTGTAACAGGATGAACACGTAAATGTGATAACACTGTAAGAGTGAGCGTGTGTACTGTGTTTACCAGAGGTCGGAGGTCAGGTCAGAGGTCACCAACAGGTCAACACATACAAAAACATTTCTGCATCTGAAAGACATTCCTGCAGTTCCCCCCCCTTTCTTCTCTTTCTTTCCAGTTCTCTTTCAGCTTTTCTAAAACAGTGATATGTGGCTGCCAGCAACTTTAAAGTTTGATTTAGGAAATTTTCTGTGCCAGTGATGGGAAGTTAACAGGTACTTGTACTTTACTTGAATGTTTGGGCTACTTAATATTTCTGATCTTCTACATTTCAGAGGGACATATTGTTCTTTTTACATCACTACATGTAATTAACTAGTTGTTAGTTACTTTACAAATTAAGATTTTATATGAAAAACAAGAGATAGAGACATAAAATATATTGTATTGTTAAAAATTAAACCAGTGGTTTCCAATCTTTTCTGACCTCTGACTAAAAACTGTCAACGTCAATGTCTTTAAGTTACTTACAGTTACATCAGAAACTTCTATGGTTTCTTTAAATGAGTTTTGAGACACAAAGAGGTGAAATTATATTCCATTTTACAAGAAAAATGTTGACAGAAACATATATGAAGTAGTTTAAACTGCCTGTAGCAGCTACAACAGTAAAATGCTGCTTAAGTAGCAAGGGATTATGGGAGTTGTTGTAGTCATTGTTAAACAGTCACCATTGCTGATGAAAAGCTAAAGTGACTCAGGCAGAAATTGTTCACAGACAAGGTAATGTATTAAAGTTTTATTTACGTTCTGTTTCTCTGTCATGTTTGGTTACAGATAGTAAAGTAAGAAATAAATTAAAAATAAAGTAAGAAAGGCAGTGTTACCTGAATAAAATTACCCATTTCTCTGGGTTTGATTATTGTTGGAAACATTTGGGATAACGCAGGGCATAACTCAACAAAATATATACATAAGTCTCATTGAGTTTAGTCATTTTATAGCGGAAATGTTACAGGTATTATACATTTAAGTAAAAGATCAGAGTTTTTCTTCCACCACTGCAGAAAAATGGCAACAAGCGTGGATGAAATTAACTTAGTGTACGGGTTTGTTGTAAGTCAACTCGACACAAATAACAACTCTTAAATCAACGTATTTCTTTGATTGACATGACGCACATTAACTTAAAGTCCTCCAGTTAATAATCTTTTGCTTATTGTTACTGAGAACATTTGAACTGTTGAACATTTTCGATTCCACGACACCGACCAAATAACACAAATTAACTGCTGTTTGTTTCCAACGTGAAGAATGAAACTCAATAAAAAATAATGAACTTTCTCAGTTTTTAATCAGTTGTTTATTTATATTGAAAACTACTTTTGAGGTTAATACATTTGCATTCACATGATTATTAAATGTGCCAATTAATAAATCCATTTTATCATTTTGTCCTGAATAAATTAATGATATTTTAATGGATTCCCATTCACAATATGATTCTTAAAAGGCTTTTTACTTTTATTTATTCCATTTACCAATGTGTCTTCTTATCATATAAATAAATCCACTACTCATTTGTAACATCTGGTAATTTGCAACACTGAAAATAATTTTACCGCGAGGTCTATTTAGTAGCTGTTCAGGTGCTTTTTGATCACATCACATGGTCTTCATCATCAGATACAGTTTGCAATAATGATATAAATGTATGGATGCTTTCCATGAGCACTTTAAGAACTTCTCATCCATGTTGGTGTTAAAATGTAGATTATAAATTGCTGTTTTTTTCAGTAGCTGATCAGGAGCTTTCAATCAAATCAGATGGTTTTTGCAGATATTGCTGAGAATTTTCACAACATCTGGACCTTTTGTCTCACCTTAACCTTTCCATCACATATACTCTGGCACTTTCTCCCAGTCTCTTTTACCAGCTTTTACCACACACACTTTCACTACACGCACAAACACATACACACACACAAACACACACACACACACACTTTCACCATACATGCACACACAGAGGCAGGCCATCAGTCTGTGTCTCCCTCCTTGTGTGGCTCTGACAGGTGTAAGCCAGCTGGGGAGCAGACTGCAGATAAGAGCTACAGATAACACACACGCATACACACACAGACACACCCACACACATAAACACACACACTCTCTATAATGGACCACAGCAGTGTTTCCACACACACACACAAAAAAGAGTCTGAACAGAAATCTGAGCTGCAGACCTCAAACTGAACATATAAACATGTCTCCCAGCTGAGCTATAAAATAAATATGTTCTTTTATTTTAGAAAATAGGTTTATTTATTCCTTTTCAGCTTTTTGTAATGAAATGTTTTAGCCACACTACTTGTGTTGTT